ACATAGACGTCTAAGTATTACAGCAATAATGGCAGCAAGCACAGTAGGTGTTAACCGTTAAAAAGTAACAACAACCCCCTGCCCTTCAGAGTTGCCGTCATTTGTATAAATTCTAAGAATTTCTATCAGACCCAGTTTCCATGCACTTCGTACGGGGATACCTTATTTTTATGGTTTGAGCCTTCGGTTAAAAGATAACATTTAAATACGAAACTAATTAAAGCTGAATTTTACATATTTTTCGATTAGAGGTCAGTATAAAATTGCTTTACTATGAGCTCTTGGTGCTTCATGGAAATGTTTCCAATATGTCAGATGGACAGTTTTTCGTTATTATTTTTACTCAAACATCCCTCAAACAATCGGACTACTTATAAAAGAAGTGAGTTTCTCAAGGACAAACTCACGTTGAAGTCTATAAATCCAGTTGGAGAGACAGTTTTAACGAAGAGAAATTGGATGAAGGAATGCCCCTCCCCTCAAATCTGAGCGATATATTTTGCATTTGTCACTTCATTAAAATCCAGTATGAAAGTGGTTTGTGGCTTGATTGCAGCTTATAGCTGTGGGACGTCCAGTAGTCGAAGATGATCAGCACCACGGCGTCGTGCGAATATTAGGAAGCGGTGTCACTCGCGTGGTCCGAGAAATAGCTCAATCATTATTACTTTAAAAACTCCATCTCTTCAAATTGTGATTTTTGGTCCGAATTATTACAGTAAAAGCGCGTTAAGATGAAATACGGTCAAGACGAAAATCCGCTTAAGACGAAATTTTTTTCGGTCCCTTGACACCTCCACAAGAGTCAATGTAAGAAAAATACGGATAAGACGAAATTTCGAAATTTTGACCCGTAACCAAAGCCGGTTAAGACGAAGAGAAATTTCCGATTTTTTCCCCTGAAATTGGGTAAAAACGACAAAAAGAGCCAATTCTTAGGGAAAATAGACTTAGTATCTTGGCACAAAAAGAGTAGGTTGAGAGTAGCTCGTGGGTATCCTTTGTTTTGCTGGATGACTGAGATGCAATCGACAGTTGACGATGAACAGATTTGCGTATTTTAAAAAAATTCAAAATTTGGATTTCGTTTTGTATAAAATTTAAAAATTTAAAACTGATGGATAATAATCTTTCAAAAAGTCATTCACTTAAAATAATCCGAAAAATTTCGTCTTAAGCGCAGTTGCCGCTTATGCCGAAAAATTTCATCTTAAGCGGAGAACGGTTAAGACGAAAAACCGCTTATGACGAAATTTTTTTCGGTCCCTTCGTTTTTCGTCTTAACGAGCTTTTACTGTACCAGGTGCCTACACTGCCGTGCTAAGGAAAAACGCCGTATGAAAATTTAAGAGTTGCCAGATTTTCTCCGATTACAGCTAAATCCGACCCCTTATTTCTTAATTCCGATAAGACTTCTACTTGTTTATTGGGAATGCCTTGGACATTCCACGTCCCAAGTTCCAACGTCCGTTTACATACTTTGTGTCGATTTATCCGATTTTTCCGTTGGGTGCCGAGGCAACAACTGTTGGGTTTTTTAATATTTGCTTTTTTTACGGGGAACGAGGAGTTAGCCTGATGCCCTAACCCCCAATCTGGAAGGCCAGAATTTGATTTCGGATTTATTTCTCCTACGGATAGGTTGCTTTCACTTAAGCTTAGAGCCCTACCCCCCGGGGGGTCTGTCCACCCCCTTTGAAGCAGGGGATACCAGCTGGGGTCCGCAGGATTGCTAAACCTGTGACAGTACAGTTCCCCGTACGTCTATTTTCTCCGATTAAATTGTTATCTTTGAGGAGAGTTACTCGTATGAACATTTTTTCCTGAAAATTTCGGATAGTTTAAATCTGATCGAACGAAATTCTCTGAGAAATATGGAGAAACAGATTCCCAGATTTCCTTGAAAATTCGTATTTTATCGAAGAAAATTTGGCAACGTCTAAAGGTTCTTACCGTGTTTTTCCGTGACACGGTAGTATATCGAGCCAGTTTTTATGAATTGTTCGGTATTTGGTAGGAAATATTCTTTACGAGAGTTTGTTATATTTGTATTTCAAATTATGTTAATTGCCAAAAAGTAATCCTCTGAGGGCACTGAGTGATTCTTAGGGGTTAAGCAGCTTATTGCAGCTATGAGCTCCCGAAATTAACGAAACGGAACTAAATGAAACGTTTCCAGTTTCTTGGACGTTAAGAGAGTCGTAACCATCCCCTCGGAGCGTTATTTGGGGGAAGGCGACGGGGGTTGGCAGGAAAAAATTTACCCAGTGATTTTTTTTCATTTAAAATAATGTAATTTGAGATTTTTTGTGGTTCTTTTCCCTAAGAAAATCCTTTCAAGTCCTTCCCTCAAAAATTTCAACCCCTCTCACAAGATTTTGACTACATTTTGCAATTAAGAACTATAAATTTTGGCCCGGCTTAAAAACAACGTATGTGCCATTAGTTTCCCTATGCACATGAGTGTTTTTTCAGATGAGTTAGAATTTATAGCTCCAAATTGCAAAATGCAGTCCATTTGGCTAAAGCAACTTTTCTGCTACACTGAGAATCTCAACCGAACAGGTCGGTAAGCGCTTTTCTGTTCAAATGTGTTAGACCTCAGTCGCGCTAATCTACTTCTTCGGTTGACAGAGTCGAACTCCGGTTCTGTGAACCCAGTGGCGATTATTGAAAATTGGCAACGCTGTATTCTCTTAAATTAAATCCATTAAAAATATCGATTTAGATGAGACAGGCTTTCTTACCAAGAATCGATTGTTTTACATACATTTACATGAAGGAAAAACAGTGTTGCCAATTTTCAATAACCACCACTGTGTGGACCGAAGGTTCAGTTCAACGTACAGATGCCTCAATTTACCGGAACGAAAAATATCGATCGATACTGGACGTGCTTCATATAAACTAAAATTTTTCATTTCATTGAGCTAAATTTTTGGTTCATCAAGCTGACCTATGTCTCTGCTAACCGAAGATCTCAGTTATCTCAAACGAAGGCTTTGTTCCATAGACCAAAGAGCGCCTTCTAAAGTACTCAGTTAATACCATCGAGCATTTTTTCTCCCCGCACACCGCGAGATTGAAGGGACCACTAGACAAAAGCGATTCCAGCAGGTTGGCAACACTGTCAATACTCCATTTCAATCAATTGAATATATTGATTACAGGTGAGGCGGGCTGCTTCACCTAGAATCGATTGTTTAACATACATTTAAATTAAGAAAAACAGTGTTGCCAGCTTACAAGAATCGCCACTGCCACAAGATAGGTGGCATTTTTAAGCATTAGAAGTCAAAATTCGGAATATCCCTATGAATGACCCATCGGGAAAAATTACCTTTTTTGAGGAAATATCTCGAATTATGGAGGGTCTACCCCCTGGAAAACCTCTCCCCCAGCGTACCTCCTCATGATCAAGATCATGTGTTTTCTTCGCTGAAATGTTTGCAGTTATACTGTCAGATAAAAACAATTTCCTGCTTTATTTTCTCTAAACCGTTTTGGGGGAAGCGGCCGCGATGTGGGGGGGGGGGGGGTGCTAAGGATAAATATTTCGAAATTCACGATTTTATAATACCTCATGAAAGTTTGCCGTATTATAATGGGATTGACTCAATTTTCAGTTATTTTGCCTTGCGACTGGTTTCAGGAAAAATGACCAGGAAGGGTTTGAAGGAAGGCACCGTTAATGAGGATAACCGGTTGAAAGTTACGAATTTGAATTCCATGAAATTTTGTCACCCATAAGTTAGATAAATTCAAATTCACCGGTAATGTACCTTTCAACCAGTTCATTTACGGAGAAAACAACGAAATTAGGGGGAGGGGGAGGGCGCTCTCAACAAACATTACTTTTTCTCCTCTCCGCTTGAAATTTACGAATTTGAATTCCATGAAATTTTGCCACCCTTAAGTTAGATAAATTCAAATTTACCGATAATTTGGTTATAAGAATCTTTGTCATACCCCTCATTACTCAGGATTGATTTATTGTTTGTTGATTTCATTAGGATCGGAGCCATTTGGAGACAAATTGAACTTGGAATTTCGAAAAAAAAAATAAAGAAAAAAATACGAAGAGTTACATAAGACTTGAAATTTTGAATTTATTGAATTTGTTTTAACCTTTATAGGTTAGACAAAGATAAAAAGGCCCTTCATTTATTCCTAATCACCATGGTAGCATATCCTCTTGTTAAAATTTAAGGTTAAATTCATATGTTGATATTTGCCTCACTCGTCACTAATTCATTCCTATTGTGCACTGTTCTTGGTCAAAAAGAAAAACTTTGTAAAAAGGACAAAAAAAAAAAAGATTGGACCTACAACGCAGGGCCATTTTATAGATTGGACCGAAAAATGTAGGACCAAACTTATTGGACTAACTGGCACTGGACGAAATTTTTTGGACAAAAATTCGCTAGGACGAAAAAAATTGGACGAAAATTCCTGAAACCGATAATTTACCTCTCAACCAGTTCATTTAAGGAGAAAACAACGAAAGTAGGGGGGGGGTCGCTTTCAATAAACATTACTTTTTTTTCTTCATCGCTTGAAATTTATGAATTGAAACTTTGGAACTTTCGTATCATTTTTATAAACTCAAATTTCCGCCGTCTTATCATACGAATCCTTCCGGAGGAAACGACTCAAAGGAAGGGTGGGAGGAAGACGCTTCCAATAAAAATCACTTTTCATCCTTCACGTCGAGATCCACTCAAAGAAAAACGGAGAAAACTCATTAAAAATTCTTTAAAAACATAAAGATAAAAACACACTCACTTGCGTAAAAATTGTTTTTAAAAATAACGGGACGCGTTTCGGGACCTTAGCTCCCATCATCAGCCCGGATCAAATCCCCACCATCATCAAGGTCCCGAAACGCGTCCCGTTATTTTTAAAAACAATTTTGACGCAAGTGAGTGTGTTTTTAAAGAATTTTTAAAGAATTTTAACTTGTGTAGTCCCCTAACGGTATTAAAACGGAGAAAACTCACTTTGATCATAATAGTCGATGTATCGAGGTGAGAGGTCCGGGGAAACGTGTCCTTCGAAGGGACTGCACTTGACACACACATGCGCACAGATCACTTGTCACATCTTCGCTCGCGGTCACACATACACCGACATGGTGGCGCGTTAGAATTCGGGCGGATATAGCGGAGATCGCGGTTAAAGAGATACTGACCGCATCAACGCGGAGTCATCGAGCTCGGGGCTCAGCGCACCGGGGGCTCCAGGAAGCCGCTCCGTGGGTCAAAAATCCCACCACCATGTCCAAGTCTGGGCCCCGGAGACGGGATCCATTCTTCGGGACTGCTACCGCGCTAAGCCATCGTACTTAAAAACAAACACGCCCTTCCCCTAGTAGCAGAACCATAGAAGGAAAAGATAAAGATTATGTACGAAAGTTAATTTTTTTTATATAATGCATGCATACGAAAGTGTTAGAAGTGAACATTTTTATGTAACCATTATATTAAAAAGTCATAATTTTCGTGAGCTTTTCGCAAACATACTAAAAAATCTTCTAATTCGCAAAAAGCTCACAAAAATTGTGACTTTTTTTAATGTAATGGTTACATAATAATGTTCACTTTTAACACTTTCGTATGCATGCGTTATATAAAAAAATTGTCTATAAAACAAATTACCGTATCTAGCTTTTATCATTTTTCGTATATTATGGTCAGGTCTGAACTTTGATTTTTTTTTATATAAGCGTTACAAGTTGTTTATATAAAACTACCATTTAGATAACACATATGTTTTTTTTATACCTTTTTTTAGAAAAACAAAAATTTGTTCTGCTACTAGGGTTTGAACATTCAAGTGTTATCAAATTTCTCCTTATGAAACATTAATTTTTGACAAGAGTGATGAATATTTTTCAGTGAGTTGGGATTTTTTAGCTAGCGTGTGTTAAAAATCAGCACAAAGCTGAACATCTCAATACTGAGGGAAAAAGCTGACATGAGTACAATTTTTCCTCTAAGAGATACGCTGTTTGGTGCAACACTATTAACGACTGTTCAGGAGGGCAATTGCAGACGCGTTTCTGCCTTATTTTCAACATACGCTGGCTAAAAAATTAAAACTTACTGTCTTACGACCCTTGCGTCTACCGCAATCAGTTTGTGAATATTTTTCCTTAAAATTTTTAGGTTCTTTAGATCACTTTGAGAATAAAAGTCTCGGAAAAATTTGAAGAAAAGTATTCAAAAGCTTTCCTGACAATTTGTATTTTAACATAAATCAAGCATGAGATCTCTAATACGTTCGTATTAGGGGAACGCTCAGCTGTTTTCTATGTAGGCGCGTTTTTTAGCTCTCCGAAGAAGATGAGCAAAGTTAATATAAAAGGCCTCGCTCACCAAAATTTCAACTATCAATTTTGAAGAAACTACACCACCAATAAGGAAATAAATCATAGAAAAACGATTACCATCCTCCATGCTTTGACATCACAATCATTAAGTAGAGGTATCACAGATTAATCAATTCTCAATTCGTATAAGAGGCCCCTCTACGCCTTCTTGTTGTTGAGCTGGTGCGCCATTTAGACGCAGAGACAAGAGACCCTCCAGTGGCCTCCTGGTGACAGGTGGAAGCTTTTACTTTCGGGGACTCAACAATTCCTCATGAACAATTATAAGGGAGCAACAGTCACCACTCTTATTTCGGCTGTTGACCTACCTATATGGTGGATGATGAGCTTTGGGTGACATCATGAGCCAAACAGCTCCCTCAAACTTCGGCTTGTTTCCTAAACGAAACTGCCGATACGTTGTTAAACATCAACCATGTAGGTAAGTCAACAATAGAATGATGAAGTCCCGAAAGTAAAAGCTTCCACCATTGCCAATATAGAAGTGGGAGGGTTTGTGTCTCTGTTTGGACTCAATACTACTAGTATATTAGAATTCTAGATACAGGTTGAAATAAAGAAGCGCTTCCTATCAGCTAACCGCTTTGATATTAGCAACGCCTGAGGGTGTTCACTTCTTTGACAGGCAGTATGCGAGTAGTGGTTATTATTACCACTCTTGCGTTCAAGTCTCCTTGTTATCAAGCGGGAGATGTAAAAATCGCACTAAAATAGAAAATTAGACAACGCTTGAAAGTTCAATCGGAGTTCTTCTGGCGTGGCAGTATTGGCTAAATGCGAGTGGTGGTTATTTTTTCTACTCACGCGTTCAAGTCTCCTTGTTAACATGCGGGAGGTTTAAATGCTGTGCGTTGCTGAAGCTCTACTTAAAATTGGTGTTTTCTAAAAGGAAATTTAGGAACGTCTGAAGGTTTATAAAATGTTCTTTTTGCGCACGGCAATGTGCAAAAACCGAAGAACTACAATACTTAAGAATTTGAGAATATTTTTATCGACGGAAAACTTCACAAAAAAAGAGAACTTGAGCATGTACATTTTATATTCTTTTAGGATATGCTTTCATACCCATGCAGTATGGGCCGTATTCATAGTCGTAGTTGAACTTCAAGGCTTCCTTTGGTGGAGGAAGTTTCAACGTTTAAGAAATGACAATATACATACATTTTTTTTGCACTGCAAATTGCCTACCTTTCTCATGCATGGATGCCTTTTATCAATCGTTTAAAATCTGCTTTCATTGACCAACACTGAAAAAAATGTGTTTTACTCAAGCATGATGATTCTTGAATTTGCCACCAAGCATTTTCTTTATCTTGATTTATTCTTGATACAAGGAAAGTAAGGCTTGGGTTAAGCAAAAAAGTAGGTTATATAAAGCAGCAAAATTCTAGATTCAAGAAAAAATACTTCTTGGCGGCAAATTTAAGATTCTTTTTTTTCAGTGATTAGACCGCGTTTATCAGCTATTGTCAAATAACTGGGCAATTTAATTTTTTTAACAGGAGAACGTCTGTGTGGATTCCTATAAAAATTTTAAGGAATTTTCTTCGTATCATGCAGAAAACTCACAGAAATCTGCACAAAAATCCACACAACATCATATAAAAAATAAATTTCCCAGTTAAATTTGGCAATATAGATGATGTGATTTGGTTCCTTTCTGCTTAACGCGGTCCAATCGATGTAAAAATATTGCGATTTCATAGTGAAAATGTTAAAATAGTTTTTGTCGTGTAATTTTATAGCATTAAATTGCAAAATTATTTCAATATGGTCGTTCACTGAAAAAAAAAAATTTCTAGAGATATTTTTTGACGTAAAGCGTCGTTTCTTATCGACAAAATTTGGGTTTTTGCAGTTCAATCCGCGCAGATTTAACTTGAAGTCGGTTTTTTTAAGTTGAAGAAACGTTGTTTTGCTATAGTTTTTTTTAACTTAAATTTAACGATAGCAAATTGACGCTTTTTCAACTCACAAAAACTGACTTTAAGTTGAATCCGAGCGGGTTTAACCTCAAAAACGAATTTCGAGAATCGACGCTTTCACTCAAAATAAAATAATATATCAAGAATTTTTTTCCTCGGTGTCGTATTGCGCTACTTGAGTGCATGGAACTGAGACACTGGAGTCAGGAAAAAGTGCTGTGGGCCCACTGTGTGTCGAGCCCCGGGCAGATCCGAAAGATGTTGGGCTCCTCGAATCTGCTCCTGCGGGCACAGCTCAGCGCGGTCGAGATAGAAAGTCAACCACTCGGTCGCCATCGCCGGCCGGCCGATCGCCCGAATTCGGATTTCTTAAACTTTTACTGGCGTCACCAGCACTCCCGGCCCGCTTTTCATCGGTTTCAAGACCCACACTTCCACCGTACTCTCCGGCACCTTCCACCTTGTACTACTCCAAAGCACTCCCGTGCTGAGGAAAAAACGCCGTACACTGAAAAAAAAAATCTCGGTGTATTTACTAAGAAAAGGGTAAAATTACCAAGAATTCAAGGTTCTGTTTGATCCCAGTTTTTTCTTGGTAAAATTGCCATTTATGGAATTGGTAATTTTACCGAGAAATCTCGGGAAAATTATTGAACTTTCTCGGTAATTTTACTGGACCTTGGTGAAAACGCCAATATTTTTTATCGACTGTGGTAGAATTACCGAGATAAAATGGCAAAGTTACCGGGAATTGATTACCAATAAAAGTGGTATTCTTACCTGAAAAAAAAAAACAGTAAAAAACCGGCTTTTAGGTGAGCTTACCAGTCTGTCTTGGTAAAATTACCAATAATTGGTAAAAAAAGTGAGATGGTAAAGGTACCAACGGACCTTGGTAGGTAAAAATGCCGAGAATTTTTTTTCAGTGTATAAGCCTTCAGACGTTAATTTTCTTTGCAGGGTTGACGGCGGTCTGGAAAATCGATTCGTACAACGGGAAGTTCGGAAAACATATTCTGAACGACGTATAATAATTAATGTTTTTAGATCAATTGAAAGTTAATGACTGAATTTCGACAGTGTAAGTCGGCAATCACATAACTCGGTTTGCGACGTCAAAGACTTCCCGTCATATTTTGTTTTATAAACGGAAATCTACTCTGTGCGAAAATAGTTCTGCAAAAACTTCAAGGAATGGTGTCGATTTGTTCGCCTTGAAAAAAATAACATACACGGAAAAATTAAATTGCTGATATAACAATTCAATTGCTAAAAAAAGTGACTGCGATGTTTCAATGTAGATTTTACAACATAAAAATGCTACTTTAACCACTCCCAAGGTAAAAGTAGCTTACAATAGTGGTCAAAGAAGCATTTTTTTGTGAAATCTACGGTGAAATATTGCAGTCACTTTTTTTTAGCAAATTGAATTGTTGAATCAGCAATTTAATTTTTTCCGTGCGTGAAGGCGGAGATTTTCAGACACCGAAAACGAGATATGTGATTGCAGACTTATGCCATCGATTTGTACTTTTGTCCTTTGACTAATGTCAAATTTCAGGACCTATACCGTGCGGAGAAATTAATATTCATCCGTTTTGTTGTGTGATTCATTTTTCTGGTGAAATTTTGAATCTTGGCTTTTCGCCAACACTTTTTCAAGAGTCAATAAAATCATAGTAGTGTAAGACTCGTTTTAGGATTGAAGTAGCCCTGAAGCGAGTCGTTAAGCCTTTTTCATGGTTGTTATTGCTCCTCCAAAAACGGCCTATTTACAATTTGATAATCAATGGAAATTTAACAAAAAAAAACAAAAAACAA